GATGGAGAACTGTTCCAGGCAAAAGAAGCAGGATATGCAAAAGCCCAGGGAAGAAGGAGTAGAACATATGAGAAATTTGTGCTGGAAAAGATGAAGGTGTAGCAGATGACCACTAGCTCCCCCTTTGCCTGGTAAAATTGTTTTAATTGTGTAAGGGCCAGTATTTTTGTGTACATTCTTTTCTGTTTTAGTAGCCTTACTGATACACTAGTCCAAACATGTCTGGATGGATGACAGAACATGACAAAGTAACTCCTGCCATCTAGTGGACAGACAGAACATCACAATGCGTGGAAAATTAGCATTTACTACATATAGTTTCAGGCTCACAGCATCTCAGATTATGGTAATTTTCCACTCCATAGTTTGAAAGTCCTGCTGTGCTAAAAAAAAAAAAAGTTAAGAAATATCTAAGAATATTGTCAGGCCAAGCTCCCCTGTTGGAGGGAGATGAAGGGAAACCAGGGGAATAAAGGAAGGAGGGAAGGGAAACAATTACGTTCTGTGTCAACATTATACTTAGGGGGCATGCTCTCACTTATTCCTCCAAACGATGAGGTACGCATATAAACTCATTTTGCAGCTGAGGAAACCAAGACTCACTGTACAGGGCTGACTCCTTTGTGTTATGCTACCTCTAGTCAGGGTTCATTCTTACTCAACGAAGTGTGAGTAAGGAGCATTCGTTCCCCATCTATACTTTTAAGTGTGAGAACCTCAATGAAAATACTCAAGGCCCCATTCGGTCCTCAGGAGACATTGGTAGACTCTCTATTTTACTCAGTAATATACACATCAGCTGGTTCCTAAAGCAGAGGAAGCCTCAAATGCCCCATGTCAGACATATTTTCAAAGCTAAAAACAGGAAAGCATTTCTAACAATTTCACACTACTTCTAGTTGAGAGACATTCTTAGAAATGCAATTTGGATGCAGAATTGTTGCGATTCTCAGAACACATCAACAAGGACTGACATTTTTGGAATTGAAGCTGTCTCAGAAAAATCCAAGATGAATAGCGTCCTGCATGTATGAAGATGCATCACGTTAGCGAAGGATAATCAAGTGTGCATATAGTGATTTCCCGTAGTACTTTATACCTACTTACAAGTTCTTAAAACATTTTTTTTTTTTTTTGGTAATGGTGCTTAGCACACAGTAGGAGCTAAAAACATGACTGCAATTATGAAATTTTTCCTCATACGCCTCTTATACTAGGATGTGAAAGGTTATTACAGACTGTCCACCAGTTGTTCTCTGTCTGCACTGAGGCCAAAGCAATAGGGATGGAGCACCAGCAAATCAGAGGTGCAAATAGGAGTGCAGAGAAATTAGAACTGACAGGGCTGGGATGGGGCTGGGGAGCTGGGAAGTCTTAGGACAGACTACCAAGGGAAAACAGCATCATCTTGTAGATGTTCAAGAGTAAAAGGGGCTATCTTTAGGCTGGGATTATTCTGGTGGGGTTTGGAAATAACCCCTGGTGTCAGGCTCGTAGTCAACTCCAAAGTTTTGACTGAGTACTTGAGTCTCTAATGTGGTAAGAAACGTAGGCCGGCAGGGGGCCTGGGGGCAGAGGCGGGATGACACGACACACATGAAACAGTTTCTTCCTTCCAGAAATTTATAATCTGGACATAGGAAATCAAGGGAACGATCATTTGGATTGGAACGATCAGGGAAGGTTTTGTAGAGGGAGGAGTCAGACTTCTGATAGCCTAATAAGAATGAATACATTCTGGGAGATAGAGAGGAGGAAAACGCATTGTAGGTAATGGCAACTAACACTCCAAAGATCCCTTCACAGCTATTGTGAACCTAAAGCCTGGCATCAAAATCTTGCCTTCGTTTAAATTACATATTTATTAGGGGGTGGGGGAAGGGTGGGAGGAGATGGTCTCTACTAGAAAGAGACTGTGAAAGGAAGAATGAGGCATCTCATTTTCCTTACCATTTGGTGTCACTCCCTATCAAATAAATTGTACGAAACTTAGGAAAATAGGCACCCTTATTAAGAGTACACATTTGGAATGGCCATTTATCTATGGAGTCTCAAAACAGAAAATTAAAATGACAGAAAGGACACCCACAGAACACCTGGCATTCATTTCACAAACTTGGGGGGAAAGTGTAAAAAGGGGCATTGCTAACACTTCTCTAAAGATTACTCATATATACATAACAAATACAGTGGGACTGGTTTTTTTAATCAGAACATTTGAGTGTAGGAAGACCAGCAACATGCCAGAAGAAATAAAGAAACTTCTACTGGGTAAAAAAGCATTAAGATGAGTGTCTAGAGAAATTCAGAGGGGGTTGGATCCCCAGCCCCTTGCTCCTTTTGCTTATGGACAGAGCTGAAATAACAGTGTGAGACTACAGAGCCATACATCTGTTTCTGATTTACTGTCTTGGTCTTGTCCTAGTTGGAGTCATTTCTAGATCATATGCTAGTCTTCAGAGAAGTTACAGAAGGAATTTACACAAAGGGTGAATATATAATTAAATACACAGATACAAAAACACCATGGATAGAATGTAGATAAGAAACATATGCAAAAATTCTGATGAGAAGGAAATTATCAGATGGCTTTCATTTTCTGATTTGTGCTACTCACCCCTCAGCTCAAAGATGTTGATTTCAGGATGTCAGAAGCCCATCCACTGATTCATCTTCTTGGGTTCCCTACCTAAGTGACATTCCTCTGAAGTGGGCTTCTCTAAATCTACACCTAGAATCTAGAAGCTGTTATTCTCTATTTTCCTTCATAAGACAGCATTAAATTTTGTAGTACTAAAGCTGTTACTTTCCTCAAAGAATTGCTTCAGTAGGGTCCAAGATAGAATCTGCTTAGGGGATAGGTGAGCGTAATGTGTTCAATTTAAAAGGGCATTTTGCACATGGTGCATGTGTAAATCGAAATTCTAAACCATTTATATCTGTTGTCTACTCATCTTTTATAAAAGATATGTACACACTCTCCAAATAAGGTTTTTGCTCATCCTTCTTAATTCTTTTCCATAAATTCTTAATTTTTTAAAGCACTCAAAACAGAGGTTGATGACAATTTTATTCTTTTTGTTCATTTTTTTCTATTGAGAAAAAAATTAGCACGTCAAATTAAGCCTGAACTATTTTGCAATCACTTTTCTCAACTTCATTTTCATAATTTTTTTTGCCCAACTTGCAATCGCTTTCCTAAGATCATGCTTTTCACTTTAGATATCTAAAATGTCATTATTCACTAAATATTTGCCTTAGCACTGAACTTTGTGGTTACTTTGTTGAAAATCTTGCTGTAATCTGACACAGCATCAACTATTTGTGATTACTTATCTAGTACATGGGTGATAATACCCACCTTCCAAGAAAGGCAGTTCAAACAATTTGACAAAATTAGGAAACGGTAACATCAGTTCTAAGAAACAGGGAAAAATCTCCGAGAGTTGACATTCCTGCCTGGTGTCAGATAGTGTTCTTTAAAGACCACAGACAGCACGCACAAATGTAGGCGGAAATAATACATCTGCAGACACTGGCAGACAGCACCACCCGCCAAATTTGGCCACAGTTTCTTAAGATAAATAACTTTTTGGTGACGCGTAGGGCTGAAATTACATAAACAGCAGAAATTACTAAGACATAAGCCTACGAGTTTTGTGGGTTTCACAAGATTTTATGCAATCAATATTCTGACATCTGTAACACCATTTTGTTTCTAAAAAGCTGATGCCAGAAATGTGAGATTAATATCATTTGATGACTTTTGTACAGATTTTGAAATAAACTAAGTTTAATCCTTTGGAATAACCATTCTTGAACCACATTTTTATTTAGGTCATTAAGACAACCATAATCATCTCCTTATAAGGAAAAGTTTCATTAAAATGCTAGAGCTGCAGCCTGTTTCAAAAACCAATACTTGTAGCTTGCTATATTAATAGTTCTAAATGTCTAAGGCGTATTAAATGAAAACACCCTTAACAGTTTTATCTCAAGAGTTTGAGCAATAAGAATTTTAAAAAGCTGACATGAAAAATAGCTAAATATTCTGGGAACTTCCATTACAATAGGAAATGGCATCAACCACCTTCTTAATCTTTCCCTAGAAGTGGCTATATTGCCTAACTAAAATCTTTTAGGGAGATATCTGCCATTATAAAACGGTGTTCAGAAGGCTGAAAACCTGAAGAATATGTGTATGGAAGCTCCTTGCTAATTTTGATCATAGCACCCAAAACCGAGGCAACATTCTCTAGCGGGATTGGAATTCCCTGAGAACTAATCTGTAACGCTGGATATCTTTTAAAACATTAGCTCCCTTCAACTCCCCGTGTATATCAACCAAGTTCAATTCTAAAAGTGACTTTAATGAAAGGTGGAGTATTAAACTTCCTGAGAGTGTCTCCTTCCCTGCACTTTTGGTAGTTACATTTTTCTTCTTGTTAATTTTCTGAGAATATGTTAACTTGATTATGAGTCATATTAAGTTTTTTTAGCTAAGACTTCATTTTAATTACTGAGATGGTTTACTGCTTTACTATTTGTGACAAATATCCCACAAAAGAAGTTAATGAGCACCTTTTCTATTAAAAAACTCTACTTTTATCTTTCACATATTACTTGAGCCAGGTCAGTATTTGTTAATCAACTACCTACTATACGCTAAAGAGAGAGTATTCATCAAACCCAGAAGGAAAGTACTTTGAGTGGTCAATACTTTTTTTTTTTTTTTTAAGATTTTTAAAATTTTTCCTTTTTCTCCCAAAGCCCCCGGTACATAGTTGTGTATTTTCAGTTGTGGGTCCTTCTAGTTGTGGCATGAGGGATGCCGCCTCAGCATGGCTTGATGAGTAGTGCCGTGTCCACACCCAGTATTCAAACTGGCGAGACCCCGGGCCGCTGAAGCAGTGCACTTGAACTTAACCACTTGGCCACGGGGCCGGCCCCTGCTCAATATGTTTTTTAAAAAAGGTACTTTTCAAATAAATAGTCTGATATAAAAAATATAAAAGAACTTTATTAAACATAAAAATTCAAGAACATTCAAATTTTTTTTTAAGATTACAGCATGAGAAGACAGAGCAGATCAATGGTAATGGTTTATACATATACTATACTTACCAAACACAGTAGGTAGACATACTGACTTCAATGCTCAAAATAACAAAATGAATGTTATATGTCCCTAAGCTGTTTCTATACTCTATATCTACTAAATGGGAAACTTCTCAGCAGATCCACACCCCCAGACTTATTTCCCATAGGAAGTTTGATATGCTGTCACTGATATTTATCATTTTGAAATGTAGTAATATATAAACCTCTATTTTCGGTCCTTTTCTATTTTGCCTACTTCATTCTCTCTCTTCCCAACCCACCCAAGACTCCAGCAATCATCCTTCTCTTAGCAGGACCAACTTAGTCAAAACAGGATACAGAGATCTGAATGGCTCTAAGCAGAGGAAATATCTCCAATAATGTTCTCAATTCTGTGTTCACTTTTCCTTTCGGCAGTTACCTAATTACACCTAAGATGATGTGAAAAAAGAAACATATTCAAAGCAAAAGAAAAAGATTTTGGACTATCAATCCTCACATTGGTCCTGCGGCTTCCCTTTATCAACCAGTGTACACATTAAGTTCCCAACTGTAAACACATGCAATATTTAACAAAGTGACCAAAAACTTCGTGGAAAGCACCATATAATTTCCAAGGAAATGTGTTAGGTTGGGGTAGAGAAGGCAGAAAACTCAGGAGAGAAACCATTAAGAAAATCAAAGCAATTCACACAAAAAATGCTTTCACAAAATACTTTTACAAATGGATAAATATATTCAATTTTAAGTGATACTTCCCGCCAACATTTTCTCATTAATTGGTTTAGTGTTCATAAAAGGTACGAAAGAAATAAAATCAAAGGTATGATATATGCTTCCAGAAGAGGAAATTATCTACTTTACCTACAGAATGGTTAGAGCACCAGCACCAGGTTGAGTTTTCCAAAAGTACACATAGCTCACAGCTTGAAGAAACCAATAAACTAAGTCTTTTGACTCATTTAATCCCTATCACATGCCTTAATTATAAAACTTGCATCTCCAACTCCTGTGTACTAGGCTAAAACTGTTCCTTTTTCTGCATATGGCAGTGACAAGTAATTAGGGACACTACAGATCTGCTTATACTTGGGTAGATCTAATCAAAGATCATGTTGTTAATCCAAAGAACTATCCCCGGCATTTTAAGTAATCTTAATCCATATTTCAGAATCTGCCAACAGAGTAAACACTAAAATTTTAAAATAAATTATTGTTCCTGCCCTGGTCTCTAATCAAGAACTTACAGATATTACAAAGAACTCTTTTTCACTGCACCTTACAATACACAATAGCAAATGTTAAATGAAGGAGGATCACAAACTCATATCTTTAAAAAAAGGATGCAACAAAGCTTCTCCTGCTGTTATTCTTGACGCTGGATTTAGATCAAGAAGTTTATCAAGTAGGTCATAAGCTTCATCAGGCACCTCATCCCAGCCCTCTAAGTTGGTAGAACACACATCAAAATGACCCCCACAACCATTACTGTCCCCTTTACACACTGAAGTCCCTGAGGGCTGTGCTTGAGGTGTTTGTATAAGGTGAGAAGCTTTATGGTCAGTCTTCTCTGAAACAGTTGGGTCATGAGAAGCAGGCCCCTGTATATCACTGGTTAATTTGGAAGTCTTAGAATCTATACCTCTGAGCTTCTCACAGAGTTTTCTCAAGTCTTGTGCAGGGACTTCTTTGCTACATAATATTGATTTGCCTAAAGAGAAAAAATACATACATTTTATATTATTTGAATATATCAGAAGCCTCTCTCATGAGAAACATGCAAGTCCAACCATGTGCTTTGTAGAGATAGTCACATTGGGTATGAGATAGAGCGCCACATGCCATATTTGTGTTTTGCATAACATATTTGAAGGTCAAATCATAAGTGGGAGATAGTAAGTAGAAAGCAGTGACTTACTAAGTCGTCTAAGAGATTCACATGATTCTGTCAACTTCTCCAGCTTCATCGTACCCTTCTGTAATCTTTTAGTCAGCTGCAGCTGCAGCTCCCATTCCGTCTCCTCCTTCCAAGCTTCTATATGCCTTTGACTACACGGTTCCTGTCTTTGCCTGGGATGCCCTGCACTCCCCAGTATGCCCAGGATATCCCCACTTACATCACCACTCAGATCAAGAATTACCTCTGTGAGACCTGCACTCTCAGAGTTGATCACTCTAAGCTTGTGTTGCATCCTGTGAAGATTTCTATTCTTAATTTTGCCATCCTGTATTGTAATTGAAAAACTGAATGACTATCTTGCTTACTAGACTATGAGCTCTTTGAAGACAGGGACTATCTTATTTATTTTTGAATCCCCAAAACTTCGACAATGTCTGATATATACTAGGTTCTCAACTAATGTCTGTTGAACTGGACAAAAAGGCATTATTCAGCCTCTCATGTCTCAGCTCAAACATCACATCCTTATAGATGCTGTCCTTGACCAATCTATCTGAAACAGCTGAGCCTTCTTCACGTCCTTTCACCTTTAATCTTTTTTTAAAGATTTTATTTTTCCTTTTTCTCCCCAAAGCCCCCCAGTACATAGTTGTATATATTTTCAGTTGTGGGTCCTTCTAGTTGTGGCATGTGGGATGGCGCCTCAGCATGGCTTGATAAGTGGTACCATGTCCGCGCCTAGGATCTGAACTGGTGAAGCCCTGGGCCGTGGAAGCGGAGCGCGGGAACTTAACCACTCGGCCACGGGGCCGGCCCCACCATTAATCTTTCTCAATACCACTCATCTGTCTGACAGTATATTTTTGTTTGTCTCTCCCACTAGAATTTAAGCTCTTTGAGCACACAGACTCAACAATAGTACCTGGTGCACATAAAGTTCCAATAAATGTTTTTGAATGAATTAATGAATAAACCAGATCTGTTTTTAAAAATACAAATGTCAGGGCCAGCCCTGTGGCCGAGTGATTAAGTTGGCGCACTCTGCTTTGGCGTCCTGGCAATTACTGGTTTGGATCCTGGGCACGGACCTAGGCACCGCTCATCAAGCCACCATGCTGTGGTGGCATCCCACACAGAACTAGAATGACCTACAACTAGGATATACAACTATGTACTGGGGCTTTGGGGAGAAAAAAAAAGAGGAAGACTGGCAACAGATGTTAGTTCAGGGCCAATCTTAAAAAAAAAAAAAAATATCTTTGAAACGAGTTCACAACAGGAGTATCATCAGACATGGGCAAAAATAAGTTAAGCACACAAACGTACTAATTTTGCCTTATATTTCCTTATTGAACAGAAATGTGGCTGTAAACGATGAGTAGCACAGCATTTAGACTTCTTTCTCGGGTATGTTGATTGCTAACAAAGAAATTAATCTACCTTTGGATGTTAAAGAGTTACTTTTACATATTTCGATCTAACTACTGGGTTGGAATACTAAGAGAAAAAAGGTAGGGGATGGGGAGACAGGCAGGGAGGAGACAAAGGAAACAAACTACCAAAAGCTAACTTTGTTGAAGATACAACATGCCAATCCTTTTTCACTTTTACATCTATTTTATCATTCCTATTCTCTTGAGAAAACTATGGCCAGAGGAGAATAGTCATACAGTTTTATTCCTTAATTTATAGGCTACTCTGAAGTCAAGAAATAACTAACAGTATGTGTTACAGCATGTCCCCAAGTTACACAACATGCCTAAATTATTTTCTTACATGACCAAAGAGAGGGCTCATTATCCAGGGAAAATAATTTAAACTAATACATTCAATCAAAAAATATTATGTTACAGACTACCAGGTGTCAGGTATTTGTTTTAGCTCAAGGTTTTTCCTTTGAATGTATTCGACACAATTCAACAAGTACTTGATGACAAGCTACAATGGGGTCTGTATTCAGCCCAAGGTTATAGTAAGATCTGACTGAAATAACTACAGAAGTAACACTAATAACATGGAGATAAGTGCTACATAGCATTATTTTTTTTAACATGAGATCTGGGGTCTGTATTCAGCCCAAGGTTATAGTAAGATCTGACTGAAATAACTACAGAAGTAACACTAATAACACGGAGATAAGTGCTACATAGCATTATTTTTTTTAACATGAGAACAAGCATTACAACGATAAATCTCTAAAAGCTCTTGCCTGTTATCGTGACACTTGCCCGGGAATCTGTGTGTCAGATGTTGCACTTCTATTGTTGGTCCTCACTGTAACTTTCACACAGATGGCAGAGATGTAAGTTCTTCAACAAAATGTTTTGGTGTTCTCTGATGAAATTCATGTTCATGAATTTCTTGTGAAGTTATTCAATAGTACATCAAAATTTTCTCAATAAGCTGAGAATAATCATACTCATGTAAAAGTATACTTTCCAAGGTATCAATCTTGCTTCCCATTCATGGTCACTTTTCCCTTGTATGTATGTATTATTTCACCCTATTATCCTCAGACAAAATTTTCTTATAATAGGTGTAAGAAAGGTACAAGTTGCAGATTGATCTTGCTGCAAAAACATTTTTTTGTAAGCCTCTATTATGAGGCTTTCTTCACAACCACGACTAAGTTTTTCTGGCTGATTAGACCACGGCACTGGTGCTTAAGCAAGGGACAATAATTTTCACAGTGGTTCTTAGAAGTAATTCTTGGTCAAAATCACTTATGTTTTCAAACTAACAAGCCTGGACCCTTCCTACACATCATATTTTTCTGAATCACATTTTCCAGGAAAGGGTAAGATGAGAGATGCATACGATTTCTTGAAGTTTCTCAGATAATTCTGATATGCAACCTGATTAAGACCCACTGATCCTGGGACTGGGCACAAGGCAACCCAGCTACTTTTGAGGTGCATTGACTAAAATTTTGTCCCAAAGGGGTGTTCCACATTGTGCAGTAGTATGCTGACTCAATCACATCCATCCACTTTGGAAAGTATTAACTATAATTGTGCATGGCGAATAGCAGAAGGTAGGCATTTGAGTTCAAGTTGCTGGCCAGAGCCAGGCTGAGAGAATTCTCAGGTGCCCTATGAGGTACAGTGTATATCCCAGTCTTGAAGTACAAGAACTTGTGTAGCTAAGGAGATGACTTCCTATGTCCAATATATGCTTACAAGAATACTCCATCAGTAAAGGTGTTCTGTTCACTTCTCTTCTCTGCTACCCTAACTCCAAGAAACCTTACAACTATTGTCTTTCTTACTGCAGTCCTTATGCTGTATTATAACTGTTTGTGAGTATAGACTAAGATCATTTAACGTAGGCCAAAGAGCACCTGATGCTTAATAAATACACAATAAACAAAACCTGTTATTAAAAATAGTTATGTAACAAAGTCAAACCATAACTACAGGCAGTTGAGATTTTATTCCTTATTCTTGTTTAAGATTATAAAGTTGAACTCTAAATAGTGAAGTATAGCATTTTGTACTTGATAAGATTAAACGACTACACGTAGAGAAGTGATAAATTACTTTCTGATTACACAATGCAATTAATTTCCAAGCAACTGAGAAATTTTCTACTTAACATCAGAGAACTTCATGAATACAGGCTATGTTTATTTATAAAGAGAATTTCATAATAATTTATTAAGTAATTTGTAGGAGATAATAAAAGGCATTTGTTTTGTTCTATAATATAAAACTGCTTACCAAAAGTTTTAGCAGCCTGGATAGTTTCCCTGGATCCACGAATTGTCATAATTTGAGCCAAAGCAGTTAAATCATCACTTGCTTTATAAAATGGATATCGTCCACTAAGCAAAGAAAGGAATATCACACCTGCAGACCACATGTCAATTGCTGTAACAGAAAATAAACTTTAAACAAAATCCCAAATCTATAATTTTTCATCTACATCAGAAGTTCTCAACCTTTACTATGCATTTGAATTATCTTGAGAACCTTAAAAAAAATTCTGAAAGCCAGGCCCAATCCCTCAGAAATTCTGATTTAACTGTTCTGGGGTAGGGCTCAGGCATCAGTATTTTTTAAAAGTTGCTTAGGTGCTTTTAATGTAATTCCAGGATTGACCATCTCTGGCCTAACATCCTTAACACAAAATACACTGTTTTCTTTCTTGAGCAACATGTTGGTGAGTTTAAAAGGATATTTTATCATTAGAAAACACTAAGTAAATGCACATTTTATAAGATCAAAAGAAATCCAAAAATAGCTATGTGGGGAAAAAACTGGATGCTTCTCAAGAATTACACACCAAAGTAGTGAAAGTGTTTCATTTTAGTAAAAAGTACTGAACATTAGAAGCTCTTCTTCAGCCAGATGCTAATGGTAACTTTTGTGATAGAAGCTTTAATCTCCAGACTTCTGGCAGATAAGATTAAGACCAGCTCAGCCTCATGTCAAGAAACGCATTTTTTTTCTTTTAGGTACTTCTCTCCTAATTGTTGGCCTCCCAGTATCACCAATTATTTGCTCTCTATTCCCTCGGCCACCGTATCATCTGCCTTTCTCGGTTCCCTTCGTACCTCTGCCTGCTCCTTCAACGTTTTCAGCATCAACCCTTGAGTGCTGAGGTTCCTCGGAGTTCCAACCTCTTCCCCTGCATACTCTCCCTGACTGGCCCATCCATTTCATGGCTTCAACTACCATTTATACAACAATGACACATCTATATTTCCAGCCCAGACTTGCCTGAACCTCAGACATACTTTTATTCTGTCGGACATCTCTATCTAGATGTCCCACAAATATCTTAAACCAATTATGCCCCCAATCAACTTTATCTTTCCCTGTAAACCAGTTAAACTTCTTTATTCTCCACCTTGGTTACTGGTATCCATCCAAGTTCCTCAACCTAGGAATCTGATAAACATCCTGCATGCCTTCTCTCTCACCACCCCCCACTCAAATCCCATATCCAAGTATCCACCAAGCTCTGCTTTTCCAATTCTTCACCTTTCTTTTCATTCCTATTACTAATGCCCTCATTCGGGCTTTCATCACCTCTCACGTGGACCACAGCAGGCCACCACTCTCCAAGATCTATCCTCTCTGCAAACCTGCCAGAACACTCCATCTGGAACACAACCATTACCATTCTCTTTTCCTTGAATAACTTTCCAACACCTATAGGATACAGTCCAAGACGCTTAAACACGTGTGATCTGACCTTGTCTACCTCTTTCTAGGTTTATTTCTCATCATTCCTTGACTTCCATCTTACATTCTAGCAACAATAAACTTGTTTCCTGCATGATTAGACTATGCTGTTTCTTGAGTTCCTCTGTGCAGGCCTCAATGCCAACCTCTCCACCCCAATTTTACATTCTCTTCAAAGAGATTCTCTTCCATAAACTTCCTTCCATAATCCCTTCAGTGAAGAATAGTTAGAGATCCCTAAAATATCTTGTATAAAGTTTTATAACCAGGGGCCAGCCTGATGGTGTTAAGTTCAGTGCGCTCCACTTTGGTGGCCTGGATTCATGGGTTTGGATCCCGGATGCGGACCTACACCACTCATCAAGCTATGCTGTGGTAGCATCCCACATATAAAAAAATAGAGGAAGATGGGCACAGATGTTAGCTCAGGGCTACTCTTCCTCAAGCAAAAAGAGGAAGATTGGCAACAAGTGTCAGCGCAGGGCCAATCTTCCGCACCAAAAAAATTAATAAACTGTTAAAAAAAAGTTTTATAACCATACTCAACAGATTATTTGATAATTATTAGAGAGTGTTCCCTGACTAGAGTGTAAAACACAAATAGTTTCATTCACTTTTTTGTATCATTAGCAAGCACAGAATACACACAATGAATGAATGCATTTCTTTAAAGTCCATAATCCAAGTGAATAGCAGGATTCATCTATTCAATAAGATGTTCCTGGGTTCTGGCTCTATGACAACTTCTTTACATCACAGACTTTTTTCTCTTTCTAAAATCCTTTTAATGCTATTATATTGTATTACTATAACAAAAAATAATTTCAATCAAACACACAATCATATGTACATCACAGAAAACTTTTGAGGTATTAGGCAAACAGATAAAATGCTATAAGTCTTACATTAGCAAAGATTACTAAACACAATTTTTTCCCCCACAAAGGCGATATTAACAAAATCCCTGATAAAATCATCTTATAAAAGATAAGCAAAATGCAATCTATAGAAAAAAGTTGTTTAAAAAAAAGGCAACACTAGAATTAAAAACTTTCATAAATAGCATTATCTCAAAAATGGGAATGCCACACTGTTAGAACCACTTACATAATTTAATTAAAAGCAGGAGAGCTTAAGTATTAGTGATAAATAGACAAAGATCATAAAATAAAACATACCTGGGACAGTCAATTTTAATAGGGTTCTGAATTTCTAGTGCAACATACCTGTAGTCTGATTGGGGCACTTTGTCAAGACCTCTGGTGCTCTGAATCCCGGTGTACCTGCCCGAGGGGCAACCTGTTGCCGCCTGATGACAATGAAATAAGATTACTCTAGTTATGTTAAAGTCTAATTATTTAAGACCAAAAAGTAACATTTATCAATTTAGTTCACACTAAATTCTGCCTTGATATCTACATAAATAAAAGTTATCATAAAGCAGACAATAATCCAGTGTGATAAAAATCCTAGATTTTGCTTCTACGAGTCCTCCCACCCCGCCCTGCCACCTAGTTCCCAGGCCTTATTCCAGAAAGGCTTGAAGGTAACTTATAGGCATAAAAAAAGATAGTAGATGATAAGACCCATAAAAGAAAAATAGAATACAACAGGAATTCAGAGGTAAAAAAATCCATTTCTGTTTGGAGTGACTAATTACTGATATACTTAGTCACTCACATACTTGAGTTAACTGGGAAAGGCGCATGAAAGCCAAGACTTGAAAGAAAGGGAGGAATTTATGTGGCAAAGAGCTGGAGGTGGGAGTGAGAGAGGAGCTTTATTATTTGGTTCTGGTTATTCCACAATGGCAGGAATAAAGAAAGAAAACAAGATAAAATCAGCAAGCAAAATGTGCAATTCTAAGGTTCCAAAAGAGCTATCCCCTGCATCAAAATTATTTGCATGTAAGAGCAAATGTGTTTTCCAAAGAGCATACGCATGGTAAATGAACAATACCTAACTATAATTATCATGTGCTCTTCAAGGTACCACTCTCATCAGTGCCTGTGTTCACAGAACTGTGCTGTTCCTGACTTTCACACACTAAACCAACTGCCCACCAAAATCAATGCAATGTCTCTCTTGCCTTGCAGCATGCTGGTGATTTCACAGCACCATTAAAACACATTACCTTGAAAGGCAAATACTGCAAACTTTATCTGTTGCATAACAGTCACAGGTCAGGCTAGCTGGGCAAGAACTGGCAGTTTTCCTCATCACACCACTATTCATAACTTTTGTAGAAACAGCCTTCTTTTTTGTTGCTAACTTTCTAGAGAGTACATCCACAGTCTTTGACTGCTTCATAAGCTGTAAAAGAAAAGTCATATTTTCTATCTTTATGATATTTAACATGATGCCCTCAAATGCTAGGATGGCAAAACACAACAGTGGAATCACAACTTTTAAAACTGCCGAATGTGGTACTGGATTGTAAATAAACAGTTCTCTAAGAAAACATTTAAGGTCTGTTTAGGTTTTTCTGAATAAACACTAAAATTTACTAATTAGTTCTAGTTTGGTAAATATTTGACTTATACTTTATTAGCACTTTTCCTGATATGTTACAAAAACATAAAACAGTTACGTTCTAGTGTCTAACTCCATTTCAGAACTGTAAACTGCACAATTACATTGGCTAAAATCAGGGTTTTAATTTGTTGCTCATGCTATCTAGCTGTTACAAGATATCATATGTCAATTTAAAACCACTGAACACTGATGACAATTTTGTAAACTTTACAAATATCTTTATGCCATCAACTGTGTGTCAGAAATGTGTTAGTTCTTGGGAGCTCACATTCTAGCCAATGAAAGAAAAGGCCTAATGTTCTAAATGTTCCTTCAGAGAAAGAGCAATTATAGTGAGCTAACCAAAAATAATGAAAAATTCCACCAGAAAAGTTCAGGAAAAAACTGGAGAAAATAAAAGTGTTGCCTAGATGCTCAAAGCAGTAGTAATACCTTCTGCCAAAGCAAAACCCTACTTTTAAAAACTTACTGATAATAAACACTAATCTAGCCATCCTCTAAATTCTCTTCAGGGTACGACTGGCTGATGATTGCACTATTAAGCTACATTACTTACTTTCACTGCAGGGCTCTCATGTGAAATGGAGCTGTGTATATTGAAATTTCTTTCTCCAAAAACAGAGCGCTGGACAGAAAGGCCTACAGATCCCTCCTACAATACCAACAAAAACAAGGAAAATAAGGATTATATCTGTAACACTTTCTGCCAGCTGTACTCTGCCATAGTTTTGAAAGAGTTAAGTGACATGAAACAAAAACAGCTGCATCCAAGTCATTCTCAGGCACCAAAACACTTCTGTGAACGGAGAAAATAGTCTAGACAGAACGCTTAACACCCATACATGTTATCATAGTCCACAAATACATATATATACACAAATAAAAAAATTTAAAAAACCACCTGCATGGATGTTACATTTGGCTGTGCAGCTAAAATGGAGATAGACACTTCAGAATTTTTCCCCTATAACTGATGCTTTCTTTTGAAAAGGATAATTAATCTGAATTTTATAACATGCAGGGAAAATTTATTATTTTCCATTTTTGTTATATAATGTATAATGATAAAAACATTCTAAAACTTCCAAGTAAATTTCAGTTTTGAAATAGTAAAATGATCCATTACAAATCTTAGTGAAAATCTCATCAATTGAGTATATAACAAATGCAAAAAAAATTTTTTTAATTGCCAAGTATTATCCTACTATTATACCTCCCTTTGTTGGATAAAGGAGTAAATTTCTGAAATCATATTAGTACTTAAGAAATAAAAGAGGTAGAACCTTTCCATCTTTTCCATGTTTAATCTGAATTTGCGCATTTGTGTAGGGCCTTTTAACAGAAGTTTTTGTGGTGGGCTGCTGATCCAGCTCCTTAGGTGCTGCTAGGCCACTCAATGAAATCTTGTTTCCTGTGATCACGTGGGATTTATTTTGTAAACAACTTTCTTGCTGAGCTTCCGATTGGACAAATTTGAGCAGCTCTATTTTTGTATCATGGGTTCCCTGGGCCAAACCAAAGTCTACCAAGGCATACCTAAGAAACAAAAGCAAGCATTTTTTACTTCTCTGTAACAGTTAAAGCTTAGTAACATCACAATAGGCTCAAACCATATTCATACAGAAACTGTAATTCTTTTGGGGATCAATTAAGAAATTGTAACATTCTTGAAAAAAGAAAAAAAAATAAGTTTTGCAGACAAGGTAAGGATTTAATAGCTAACTAGGATTGAAAATCCCACACACACACAAAAATCTTTTATCCCCTTTCTCCTATACTGACAAGGCAGACAAGGAATGCAGGATATAAGCACAATCCTTTGTTCTCTGATGGTGGCAGAGATGGCATCACAGCAGATTAATTTTTAACTAAACAGATTTAAAAGCAAAATAAATTAAAATCATAGTTTAAAAATCTGACTTAATTAAAGAAAATTAAAGAGAAAAGTCAGGAGTATTTTAAAAGCCCAAGAAAAGAAGTTATAGTTCTATTCTTCCTATCATACTCACTATGATATATTGTATAAAAAGCAGTATTTAAGTTTTCAATGCCTCTATGTATATAATCAGCATAAAAAATATACATAAAAACAGAACATTAGTGTTCAAACAGGAAACTGGCTATCCTATGGAGCAATCCCCTCATTTACGAGAAAGGAAAAACACAACACAGAGATAAGAGAAATGTGTAAGGTCAAAAAGGACTAGATCCTTTCTAAGTTTCTTTCAGCTAAGTGCTATTTCCGTTGAGCCATGGAACATCTAATGATGTATATTGCTGTACCAACACAATTTTATCTTCTCATTCACTGTATTTCCCCCTTCCCCAATCACAATGAAAATTTGAAATAGAAAAAATCTGTGCATGGCTGCTGCAGTATGTTCTATGTCTAAAAGATGACCTCATAGCACAAATTCATTCAAGCGTAAATATTTTCTGGTAACTTTCCATACTTACTTTTTCAGACGCCTATTATATAAAAAATTGCTGGGCTTAACATCACGGTGAACAATACCAAACTGATGAATGCGTTTCAAAGCTTTGAACAGATTAAACATATATTCACGTACTTCTTGAAAGGAAAGAGAATTCAAAATGTCCTAAAATAAAGTTATGAATAAGGTTATAAAATTGTTTCCAATTAAATATTCAGTTAATAAAAATTCAAGAAATATTAAAACCTACCAAAAAGGACTCATGCTCCAGATATGGCATAGCAATAACCACATGATCATTTTTCCTAAAGCAGTATTTAACTCCCATGACATTGTCTTGCCCCCTAGTGGAAAAATGCACAATGAACTTTAGAGGAAAGGTCAAATGAACTGAAATTTTATGCCGAGTTCTTTTAAAAATGTAATTTTAGCAATGCATAAATAATGATAGAAAACTAACTTAAAGGACAGTATACACATTTAACTGACTTGTACAAGATAAAGATTTTTTTTAAAAAACAAAAATAGCACCAGTTGTGAGGTTACTATAATAATTTAAACATGAGATAATTATAGTTTTAATTGGGGAAGTGACAGAATGAGAAGGAAAAGATGAATAACAAGAATGAATTAACAAAACTCAATAGCAGATAAGACAGTAATAATAATAAACAAATTAATAATAGCTAACATTTATTGAGCATTTGCTATATGCCAAGCTCTGATCTAAGCACTTGACATCTATTAACAATTCACTTAATCTTCACAACACCCTATGAGAACGGTGCTATTATTTCCTCCCTCTTTTTTACAGATAAGGAAATTGAGGCACAGAGAGGTTAAGGAACTTTCCCAAGGTCACTAAATTAGTAAGTCATGGGGCAAGGATTTCAATCCAGGCAGCCTGCTTCAGATCTATGTTCTTAACCACTATGCCACACTGCTTCATAAAAGATGAGGAAAATAGGGTAAAGTTGATTTCCATGGTTTTGAACCTAATTGAGTAAAACAACATGGATACCAACAAAGTATGTAGAGAAATGAGGAAAAGAAGCATCAAAACTAAGACCTCATCATTTTGATAAAGATATCTAGATACAGAACTAAATCTTAAGTGAGAACTCAGGACAGTACTTGCAAAGAAACGAAACCCAAAGCTGTGAAAATGATTAGACAGAAGAGAAAACTGAACCTTGGAAAAGTCTCAAGTTGGAGGGCAAAATAAGGAAGATGGGCCAGAAAGCCCAGACAGGAATGTCACCCAAGTGAGGAGTTTTGAAGGGTGATCGGCTTGAAGGTCAAAGAGAATGAACACTGAGGGAAGGCTTTTAGTTTGGCCAAGAGGAATTAACTGGTAATTTTTCAGAGAGCAATTTAACTGGAGGCAAAACAGTTATTTAGAGGCAAAACAGAATTTAAGGAGAGAAAATAGGACACAATGGAAGCAGAACATAAAGACCACTTCCTTGAACTATCTGACAAAGAAAAGAAGAAAAGCCAGCATGGGAGCTAGAAGGGAAGCAAGATCAGATAAAGACTTTTTTAGCACACACTGTTTCAAAGTACAGGGAACGGAAAAGTGGTAGAGAGAGACATTTAAAGTGTAGAAAAAGAAATGATCTTATTCAGGGGACTAGAATGCATATAATCATGTCTTAGAGAGGCCACCTCATGCTCTATAATAAACAGAAGGGTGAAACAAAGAAATAGGCTTGTTCATTCATTCAATAAATATTTAGTGGGTAGTTATTTGGCAAACACTATGTTACACATTAGGGATGCAATGGAGAATTAAAATTAACATGATTTCTGCCCTCATGGAGTTTACTATGTAGTGGACAAAACAGATAGTAAACAAGGTAATAAATAATGACAGTTTGAGATGAGGGTTTTGAAAGAGATCAAGAGGTGCTGTGACGAGAAAAAACAGAACTTAATTTAATTCAGAGACCTCTTTGAAGTGGTGCCACTCTTGCTCAGATCAGAAAGATGAGCAGTCAGCATGCAAAGACGGGGAGGGGTCTTCCTGAATGGGGAAACAGAATGGGAAGTGCCTTTAGGTAAGAAGGCTCGAGACAAATTCGAGGAACTAAAGAAACCGGAGCAGAGCGAGGGAGGTGGGAGGACTGCCATGAGATAAGGCTGGATTTTTTTTTCAAAGTACATTTGGAAACTATTGAAGGATTTTAAGTGGTGGGACTAACAGTATCCACATTTTTATATTTTAAAGATCACTGGCTGTTTTACGACCACAGAATTAAGAGGGAAGAGAAAGAAACAGGCTATTGTAGTAACCTAGGTTTGGACTGAGGTTGTTGTTGAGTAGATAGAAAGATACGGATGGGTTTTTAGATATATTTTGGAGGCAAAATGGCCAGGACGTGGTGATGGATGTGGTTTAGGAGAGAAATGGAGTCAGAGGATGACTAGGTTTCTGGCTTGAGCCACTGGGTAGTTGGTAGTGCCATCTGTTGAGACGGGTAGATGAAAACAGGTTGCTGCAATAAGGTATTTTTTTTTTTTTGGCAGGTGAAGGTGGATTAAAATTTAATTTTTGGCATATTACATTTGAGATTTTTATGCAGTATCCAAGTAGAAATGCAAATAGGCAGGTGGACATATACAAATCTGCAGTTAAGAGGTCTAAGGCCAGCTATATACTTAGGGGAATTGTTACTATGTATTTAAAGCCAGGTAGAAACACGATACTACCTAGGGAAGAGTCTAGAGAAAGTGAGCCCAGGATAGAGCACTGAGGAGCTCCAACAATTACGGTTCAGGTAGAAGAGGAAGAACTGGCAATGGATACTGAAAATGAAAAGCTAAATAAAGCAGGAAGAAAACAAAGAGCATGGGGCAGTAAAGAAGTCAAAAGACGATGGTTCAAATCAATTATCTTAAACACTGCCTAGAGTTCATGTGAACAGAAACAGGAACTGGCAAAATGGAATCATGGTTGACTCTTACCTACAGTAGTTTCAGTTTAGCATAGAGGAGAGCAGCCACAACGTGTTTGTTGTGAAAGGAGGGTGTGGAAGTGAAAACAGTAGGTGTAGGCAATTTTTGAGAAGTCTTGCTGTGAAGGGAAGCAAAGAAATGACAGAGCAACTGGAAGAGGGATGGCAGCACAGGAGTGACAAGAGATACTAGCTCACGTTGGTATATTGAGAGCAATGACCTAGCAGAGAGAGACCAATGAGAAAGATATGCCAGATGATTCTGCTGTTCAAATAAAATATGAGATGAGGCTGTCAATAGCTGGGGAGATGTGAAATATGACTTCCCCACAATTTTTTTTAATATCTAGACCATGGACGCCAAGGTTTATGATTTGGCAGGAAGATTAGAAAAAGAAGTGCTAAGAAAACAGGAAGTCAAGCTGACCCTGAAAGGAAATCCACTCTAAAAATTAATATAAATTTAACTAACCATTCCAAGGTTAGAGGAAAACTGCTAGCAAATTGCACAGGCCTGACTGAAAACTATGTTTAATTCATGGACAATCTCATCATCCCTGTTAGACATCTACTCAAAACTCTTAAAAATAATATATAACCGGTTCAATTAAAATATCTTTAAATTGCCTACCCAGCCACTGTTAGGCACTGAAGTTCAGCTGCAATTCTTATAGGATGACTTGTTGGAATTAAGTGTTTTAGAGCAATTTTCTCTTCAGGTCCTACTTGTAACTGTGCTGTAGCCAAATAAACAGAGCTGAAAGTGCCTGTAAAACAATTTATCAGATTTTTCAATATTTGGTTTTTAAAACTGTTAATGAAACAATGCTAAAATAGATCTTAAAAACTGTTTGGAACCCATAAAATTATGATAATTACCAATATTTTAATGACAATGAACACAAAGAGCAACACATCTATAAATACTTCTTTTTTTTTTTATTTTACTTTTCCTTTTTTTCCCCAAAGCCTCCTGGTATAGAGTTGTATATTTTCAGTTGTGGGTCCTTCCGGTCATGGCATGTGGGACCCCGCCTCAGCATGGCCTAGATGAGCAGTGCCATGTCCGCGGGCGCCCAGGACCTGAACTGGCGAAACCCTGGGTCGTGGAAGCAGAGGGCGCGAACTTAACCACTCGGCCGCAGGGCCAGCCCCCTACAACTTATCTTCAATCTTCAGTAAATTCTTAAATGTCCTCAGTTCTTTAGGGGTTTATTAATTTACCAAAACTCTATAGTAAATCTGTTTGACTGGGTTAGCATAAAATATTTCCATGGTCATGATCTATTCTAATAATTATTTTTCTATAATATTATCATTTGAAATTACTTACTTAAGACTTGGATACAGGTCTGTTAGAAGCAGAAATGACAATAGTCTTAGGGAAAAAAAAAAACCCTACAAAAATACCTGGGATTTTAAATTTAGTGTTAAACAGAAAAAATAAAAGATTTAGTAGTCAATTAAATTTGAGAAATATGGAGTTATAACAAATTAATTCCTTTACTACAAAATTTCCCAGAGTCTTTAAAGTGTTAAAGAACGTCATGAATAACCAAAAGCAAGTACATATGCTATATTTTCCAAGCTTATTTAGCCTTAGAACACACTCCACCCCTCCCCACTTCAGGAAAAGCTATCAATTTGTTAGGAGGAAATCACTGTTTTCCAAAACCAAGTTTTTGAACATTAAGTCAGTGTCCAAAAATGTAAGGAAAAAGATGTAAAGATATGCTTCTTACATTCCAAATCACCTCATCTTCTAATTTCCCTGCCCCCACTGACAGCCTTTTCTCATCTGACACTTCCCATTGTGCAAAGCAAGCAACAAGGAAATGGAAGTTTTTTACTATTTAGGCATTTATCAACAGAGCCAAAAAGTTCTATAATCTTTTATTTTCTCATTCACTTCACATCTGTCTGCCAAATTCACCTTTCATTCAATCAATATGAGTGCCAGTCTCTCAATGGTATTTATGTTAATATAATCCTATAAATATTGTACCACTTTATTTTCATCATTTTGCCATCTTAGGTTTCATATATGTTTCAATGTACAATTCTACCTAACTGCAATGGAGAAAGAGGAAAAATATTTGGCTTCCCTTGATCAAATCCCCCCATTTGAATCTTAAAATATCCACTTTTAATAATTAATCTATCATTAATATGTTATGAACACATCAATACTTTTAATGGTAGAAAAGCATAAAGAATCAAATAGGACTATTTATTTTACTGTAAATATTTATTTATTCTTCCATTCTTTTCATGTTACTGTTACATGGTCTTAATATTTTTAAAAGGGGGTATATTTTTCAATAAGAACTAATAATGAAAGTCAAGATTATACAAGGAAAACAGAAGGAAAAATAACTTCTAAAGATAATAAAGTATATCCCCAAATTACCTTCTCCAATTTTGTCCTTAATCTTAAACACACTGCCAAGCTGTGGTACAGCTTCATAAAGCTTCTCAATATCTTTTTTAATGCCTATCAAGGAAAAAAGAATTTATAGTTATAATTAATGAGAGTATATCTTATACTTAAAAAAAAACTCAATGAAATTAATTCTAAAACATGAGTAATTAAGTTACAAAGAAAAAAATAGCTATAATAAACCTCAAAATCATGACAAGAATAATTAAAACCCCATCAAGTAGCCATAACTCACACACCCCACTTAAACTAACAGACAAAACTGATTAAGCCCAAGAATCACACACAATTAATTCTTTTACTCTAGAATTACTTAATAATGGATACACTGTCACTGCATAGCTACAACACAATGAAGAAACTAAACTTACAAAATAACTAAACAATTTGTGCTATGATCACTAGATGGCATGACAAGAACACAATGCAATGTTCTTGAAAACTATTTCCTTCCCCCAAAGATACAAAATCTTACAGGCTTGAGAAAGTTTTATGTATTGAATATTCACAGTATACCCTCAGAGAGGTGGTATACTAAAGCTCTCGAGGAAGTTAAGAAATATTTTTAAAAAACTGTTCCAACTACCAATATTATCCTCTATCTTTGACAGCAGATAAATTGCTACTTTTAAATAAATATAAGTTCTTTACAAAAACGTACATGGTTAAAATAAGGAGAGGCAGTAAGACAAAATGCAATAAACTACTGGATACAAAAGAACTACATACTTAGGAATCATCACATTTTATTATAATAGCTAGCCCAAGCAACAGCTACTTTTTAAGTTATCATAATACTCTGCATAGTGTAACAGTTTAAGACATCTCAAAGCACTTTCACATGCATTATCTTTTCAGATCTTCACAACAGCACAGTGATATTGGCAGAACATGAATTATTATCATGATTTTTCAGATAAGGAAATTCTATTCAGGGAAGTTCAGTCATTTGCCCAGTTTCACAGAGGTATGGCTGATAAGTCTATAGACTGATTCATTTAACAAACATTGTGTTTTAAAAAATGCTCAGCAATGGGCATATTTAAGAAACTGAACAAATTTGGTGCAGCCCCTGTTCTCTAGGAGCTTAGCCTAGTGGAAGAGACAGATGTTAAAAGCTCACTCTTAATACAAGATGATAATTGTAATAATAGAGGAATGCACATAGTATAGGTGGGGGGTGAGGGGAACGAACACTTCTGAAGGTGCCAGGAAGCTTCGGGTGACACTTAAGCTGTGTTTTGAAGCATTCACCAAATAGAAAAGTGGAAGAAGGCATTTTAGGAAGAAGGAACTATGTATGCAAAGACATGGAAATGAAAAAAGGCATGGATTACTGTGTGTGTGTTGGGGGGGAGATAATGAAATGCAATGTGGCTAGGAAAGGGAAGGGCAGAGAATGCAAGTGAAAACCATGGAAAGGTTCTAAGCAGGAAGATGATATGTGGAGGATAACTTGAGGAGGAAGAACATTAAGAGCTGGAGACTAAATAAGAGACCAAGGAGATCTAGTCCAGTATTCTCTCCACTGTATCAGCCCATCTAAGGAAATGGGAAGAACTTACCTAAGTTACCCTCGCTTCCCTGTCTATCTCATAGGTGGACTGGAAAAGCTTCATGGATTTCAATACAAGAAGCAATATAACAATAATTCTGCGTGCCAGTTTCCGAGATGGGAGGCCTCAGTTAAAATCCTGGCTCCACTATTTACCAGCCAGTACGATCTTCTTTGAGCAAACAGCTTATCTCTGTGAGCCTTAGTTCTCCATCTATAGAAAAGGGGGTAATAACAGTACCCTTGCCCTGGAGATACTGTGAGGATTAAATGAATAATATATATGAGAAGCTTTTCATGCAATGTCTGGCACACAGTAAATACTAAATAAGTTACAGTGGTAATTCTTATTGTTGTAGTTATTCTTATTACTATTTCTTTAGGGAGTTTGCTCTTATTATTTCTTCTGCTTGGAATCCTCTGCCATTGTAACTTCATGTGGTTGGCTCAACTGTTACAGTCTCCTTAGTCTCCATCCTATTTAAATTAGCACTCCTCCCATTACTCACATTACCCTGTTTATCGTCTTTGGCATACTTATCTACTGTAAAATTATTCCGTTTATTTGTCTGCCGTTGTCTCTTCCCACTAGAATATAAACTTCACCAGCACAGGTTCCCTGTCTGTATAATTCACCACAGTACACTCAGCTCCTGGTTAGAACAGTGCCTGGCACATCTGTCGAATGAATGAATTATTACCATCATAATAAGCATTCAGAGGTAGCTGTAGGAAAAAAATAGAAAAGTTTACAAGAGAGTGAAGCCAAAGACAGCAGCAGGTCCCTCACTATCAGCTACCACACCACTTCACTCTAGAAACCAAACCAAGGCCTGGAGGAAAAGCCAGCTTTCTAGTAGTCATGGTTGCCACAGTCAGTTAGAATATTCCCTAACGAGTGTCAATTCCAACCAGTTTCAAATCCAGTATCATAGGAAAAGCACCATGAATGGGTACTAAAATATGTTCAATTTCATAGTACATTTCTTTGATTCTAAAACACAATTTTAATAACTCTGAAATTGGGATGTAACTTATAACTGTTGTCAGCCAGCATCAAAACTTACGGAATAGGTGTCAGTGACTTGAAAAAATCCAAGAAATCATAGAGGAGCATTCACATTTAACCATGAAGAACCAAATAGTTGTAGGGAGGAGTGGTAGAGATGGTGAAGAAGAAAGCAAATGCAGGCCAGCTCCACATAATCGGACTCTTAAGAGCCCATTAATAATGGCTTTTTCTAAAATTGGATTCTTCAAAGAAATTCTGCATCATCAATATATAGAGAAGAATATTGTGAGGGGGAAAACAGAAAATCAACAAGCCTGAATACAAAAAGTGATTCAGAAGAGATAGATGTGAAAGTTCATTTTCCTTTTTAAGTACATACCAGAGATATACAATTATTTGTCTAATTAGGCCTAAAAGAACTCTTTCAACAAATACAAAATAAAAAATTCTAAGTGATGAGAAAGCATTGTGCCACAGTATAAGTGACAGAATGTCTGACCAGTACATAAAATGGTGTATCTTACAATCATTCATGTTTAGATATGACGAAATATTTTTTTTTTAAAGATTTTTTTAATTTTTTTTCCTTTTTCTCCCCAAAGCCCCCCAGTGCATAGTTGTCTATTCTTCGTTGTGGGTCCTTCTAGTTGTGGCATGTGGGACGCTGCCTCAGCGTGGTTCGGTGAGCAGTGCCATGTCCGCGCCCAGGATTCGAACCAACGAAACCCTGGGCCGCCTGCAGCGGAGCGCGCGAACTTAACCACTTGGCCACGGGGCCAGCCCCGATATGACAAAATATTTTAAGAACCCTGTTTATAGTCTTTTTACTACTAAATGTACTGAAGTGTTTATGTGCGTGTTTTGCTGTGTGTACGTGATTAATAACACCAAAAGTTTTGTAGGAGGATGATAAAGAATTATGCTATCCACTAGTTTCATGTGGCTATTTAAATTAATCAAAATTAAATCAAATTAAAATTTAATTTCCTCAGTCACACTAGCCACATGTGACAATATAAAGAAATTTCTGTTACCACAGAAACTTTATTGGACAGCACCAATAAGAAGAAAGCCTAGAATCTAAAGATCTGGATTCAACTCATCATTAAACCACATTCATGTTCAATTTCTTAATCTATAAAACAAAGGAGTTGAATCAGATGAACTTTACCTTCCAACCATAACAGTTTATGGTTTTCCTATGAGTTCCACACATCTTGGAACTTCCCTTTGCATAAGCATGAGCTGGCAGTTAGTAGCAGAAATGCTGATAAGATGTTAGAAACCACCAGAAAGAAAATACATGTAATAAGAAAATACTGTAATGCACAAGCATGTGAATGATCACGTAAGCTCAATGTGCTTCCACCTCTACTCACTTACTAAGTACTTACCTATCTTTACAAAACTCAGAATATTTATATTGAAGTCTCCTATCACTACAGAACAACTTTGACATTTTTAAACAATAGTAAAACTTCCTGACAATCAAAACGAATGCAAAATCCTCAAATTCTGAAGTGGGAGATGAAAGCAGACAGAAGAAAGTATTCATGTCAAAAGCAGGAAAATACTACTAAAGACAGAGACCAATGAATATATATTTTGAGGACTGGGGGGAGATGCTGAAAGTGCATCAGCTAAAAAATTATTTAAATGCCCATGTTTTTATACAAGAAAGTCTAGGCTTCTGTTTTGAAATTTAAAGTGATTTTTTTTTCGTGCTACTTAATACATCCAAGTTGGCTTTAATACAGCCTCCTTAACTGTACTCCCTGCTTTCACCCTTGCTGGCCTACAGTCTACTGGTAACATGGTGGCCAGAGTGAGACTGTTAAAGCTCACCAAATCATGTTTGCTCAAACCCACTTTCAAATCTTGCTCCATATAAAAGCCAAAGAACTACCTCCTCTCCTCACCTCTGACTTCACTCCCATCATCCCCCACTTCCAGTCACAATGACCTCCTTGCTATTCCTTCATGCCAGGCACACTCCCATCTCACCGCCTTCATGCTTGCTTTTTCCTCTGCCTGGAATGCCTCCCCCAGATACCTGCATAACTCACTCCTTCGCCAACTTAGTTTAAATGTTACCACACTGAAGCCTTCTCTAACCAATTACACTTATTAAAATTGCAATCTCCTCCCTTGATACTTCCCATTTTCCCTTCTCTTCTGTATTTTCTTCACAGCACTCATCACTTTGGAACATACTATTTATTTGTGTTTACTGTCTATCTCTTTCTGCTAGATTGAGGGCATTGACTTTTGCATGTTATGCACTGATTTATCCCTAGCACCCAGAAAAATGCCTGCACATAGTAGACATTTAATAATAAATATTTATCATATACATGAAATGTTTTCAATCACTTACCATGGAGTAAAAGTGACACTCCAGGAATTATATGTCATACTAATTCTGGGGCTTCATGTGCTGCCTGATTGACACCTCCTATAACTAAGGAGATCATAAAATTTAGCCCAAACTGGGACACTCTTGAGAGTGAAAAGGGCACTGATAATAATTATTACACTCTGACAACACAGCATAAACTGGATTTGTCCCAGGCAAACCAAGATGGTATCGATAACCCATTTTAGAAGCATGAGCTAAGAATATCTATACAACCCACCAAAAGCAAGCTTTCCAGTACAGTTCAACAGTATGCAGGAGACAGTCGGTGTATACATAGTTTATACTTCCTTCTTTCACTGAACAGATCTTTATCACTTAACTAAACTTGGCATATAGCAGATACTTAAAAAAAAAAAGCTTGCTGAAAGAATGAAAGAATAAACACTTGATCCAATACTATGCCAGGTACTTTGTTCATTGCAGCATTTTTCTTAATAGGAAGAAATGGAAAATAATCCAAAGGTTCAATAAGAAAAGGCAATTTAAATAAATTATAGCATACTATGCAATGGAATATTAGGCAGTCATTTTAAATCAAGTTACAGAATATTTAATTACATAGGAAATGTTCAAGATATATATTGCTAAGTAAAAAATCGAGATTAGAAATAAGTTGGTGGGGGCCGACCCGGTGGCGCAGCGGTTAGGTTTGCATATTCTGCTTCAGCGGCCTGGGGTTCACCGGTTTGGATCCTTGGTGCGGACATGGTATTGCTTGACAAGCCATGCCGTGGCAGGCGTCCCACAAATACAATAGAGGAAGATGGGTACGGACGTTAGCTCAGGGCCAGTCTTCCTCAGCAAAAAGAGGAGGATGGGCAGCAGATGTTAGCTCAGGGCTAACCTTTCTCAAAAAAAAAAAAAAAAAGAAAGAAAAAAAGACAATAATAAGTTGGCTATGATCCCAATTTAGTTTTTTAAAAAATGTATCTCTGTATGCACAAGAAAACTAAAGGAATATAATAAAATGTCAACATGGGAAATAATGGGATAATATTTTCACATGTTGGCTTTCTACATTTTCTTCAATAACCATGTGTAATTTTTATCAGAAAAAAGTTATAAAAAGCTGACAAATATCCCAAAACAAAGAGCTGTGTTATTCCTCCATGACACTAAGTATTTTACTTTATATCCTTTCATTAAACCACTCATTCAATATTTTCAAGCACCTACTATGTGCTGGATACTGTTAGGTTCTGGTAATGCAAAGACATATAAAAAATCCCACCCTTCAAAAGTTATTCCATCAGGGGAAAGTAAATCACATCAGATCATGAGACGGTTATGTGCCTGGACCTCATCAGCTTTACTCCTTATTGAAGTTACGTTTTTGATATAACCTTAGCTTTTGAGATCATATAAAAAAGAACTGTATGAATAACATTTCAGCATGTTTTATAAATTATCAAAGGTACTGTTTATAATGTTCAATGTTCTGTCACATAAAAGCCACAAAAGTTTGAAAACCTGGAATAAAATCCACTCCCCCTTTGTTGCCCAGATTTTCAGAAGAATATTAGAATAGGAGCTTTCACCTGAACATGATGCTAGAACCAAGTCAGATTTATCCATTCATACACTCTGCCTAGTGCACAACACATATCAGGAGCTAGTTGACACACTGCCTTCAAGGAGCTTATACTACAACTGAAGAGACAAAATACACACAGGGCTAAACAACACAAGAATAATAATACAATGACTGTGTTATTGTGCTATGTCTCCAAAGACATAAGGGAAAGGTGAATCATGAAAAATAGGTAATTGCAAGAACAATGGAAGGGAAGAGGTGCAGCATCCACAAAACTGGATGAAAGTGGCATTTTAAGATTATTCTTAGTAGCAATGTACAAGATGGACTGGAGGATGGAAAAGAAGTGAAAGCAGGCAGTTTAGGTGAGAAACTTCACTGTAATCCAGGAGCAAAGTGTCAGGGAATAAATGTGGTGAAAGCGGGAATGGGAAGAGACAATGCCATACATATTAAAAAGTAAGAAAGCTGGGTGACTGAATACAGAGCAAATACAAAACATAAGTCGAAGACAACTCTGAAGTTTTAAGCATAGGTAACTGGAGTAACAGTGGCTTTCATCACCAAAAACAGGGGCATCAGGAAGGATACTCATTTTGACACCAAAGATGAGGTGAGTTTTAGTCAGAAAGCAAAAGCGTGTGACATCATACTTTTCTAGGTTGGGGTTAAAGTCTATTTTGTAGTGTTTACGTATACACCACAGATGAAAGGGTAAAATTAGTATCTTTTGGACAAGCACTAAATATGCTTAAGACAAAGATGGAAAAGAAGATTTAGCTATCTTTTAGGGGAAAAAAATAGAGTCGACTGAAACTCCTCTATTTAACAAACATTTATTAAACACCCAGTATGTCCCAGCACTGTGCTGGAGCAGGAATGAAGGCGCACATTTCAGGGCACAAGATCAGGTACTCTTTGACTCTCTCTCACTTCAAGGTCTGGGTTAGGGTCAAACAACACTTCATGGTATACACTGAGATACAGTGACCTACTGCCACAAATAAATACAAAAATAAACTTCATTTATTTTTGTCGATGAATTCTGCTTTTGAATACTTAAGAGAAAATCCCTCCAATGTCGATTTCTAAATCCAAGTTTAATGCAATATGGTGAGTAGATACAGGAACACAGGTCTCTAGAAGAGAAATTCTAGTTCTGGTATCAATAACTTCGTGTTCTTAGACAATCACTAATATTTAGACCTTAGCAACTACGTCTGTGAAATGACATGGTTGGACTACAATCCTAAAATGCAATCCAATCCTAAATCTAGACCTTAGGAAGCTTTACTGATTTGTAAAATGCTCCTATATAAACACACAACTCACTTTAAGATTCAGGAAGTTATTTTTTCTAAATAATCGAAATTACAGAATTGTTGCCGTACATCTTCGGAATTAAACACATACCTGGTAGTTTAAAATTCTGCTCATGTTTTTTTAACGAGCCATCCGCCTGAAACCGGTCACGCAGGGGAGAAAAAGCCAGCGGGTCATCCATCTGAATCCCCAAAGACGCCTCCATCACAAAACAAGTGGGATGCAAAATGCCAGCTAAGGGGTCATGTCCAGAGGGGCAGCAGAGCAGCTGTGGAAATTAGAATACTGGAGAAGACGAGAAGTTGAAATCACTCACTGAACCAAGCACTGAAAAATGCCCCTGCCTCCAAAGGGGCAAACATTTAACGACGCACCCTATGTCCAAATCCCCAAAGGAAGGAAAACTGTGGGCCAATTCTAAGGATTCCATTTGCTTCGCTTTCACCTTCCAGACATACCGGCTGGGCGCCGAGGGCAACTCTCCCGGCCGGGGAGCCTCCCGGGCGGCCGGCGGCGGCGGGCACCGCTGGGGCCGCGAGCCCGGCTTCTGGCGAGTGGGGCCGGGGCGGGGAAGGCCTGAGCGGGGAGAGCGGTTTGACCCGAGGAAGAGGACTGACGGGGGGAATCGTTTGCCTACAGAAAGGGAGCGTCAGGAGGCTGGTCCAAAGCCCCATGCAAGTTGGTGGAGAACTGATACGATACTGGCCACGAGCGCCGGGCGGAGGAAGGGAAGGGGGAATGAATGGGATCCTTCCCCGAGCGCGGGCAGCGAGCTCCGCGGGCAGGGACCTTCCTCCCTCAGCCCAGAGACCGAACAGGATGCTTAGTGCGCAGGCGCACCACTTTCCCGCCGCGACTCAGCGGGATCCGAGGGGGGGGGGGTGGGGAGTACTGCGCTGTGACAAGACTGAAGTCATGATCCAGAATTCGTTTCTAATCCCTCACAATCCCGCGCCATGGAACAAACCGTCGCAAACTCACGGTTTAAGGGAATACGACTTCTGTGGCTCCCCAGATGCCTGGGTCGCCGCCTCCAAGAGCTCCCCACTTAGCCAGTCTGCCAAACGCGCCTGCGCAACACTTCCCGCCTCGCCGCTTCTAGTTGCTCATGCGCACTGGAAAGCTTTCTGCGCCGCGGAATCCGCTACTGGGCGCTTGCGTAACCAGCTCGGGTTACTTCTCCAAGTCCGTGTGGGTGGCCGAAAGGGCGGTTACAGAGTAAAGAGCGGGAATAATCCTTCACTAAAACGTAGAGTGAACCATAAGCTTAAGGATCCAACACAGTTTTCAGGAAAGAAAATAATTCAGGGACAGAAAAGGTCCTGAAGTCCTAACACATCCGGACATACTGCGGCCACACGAGACAGCGGACGCTCTGGATAAAAGTCACTTTCTTGACTCCCTGCTTTTACTTCTTTTTGTTGAGTGCCTACTTCTCCGTTAAAAACAAACAAAAAATGCAATTGCTGGTTGTTTATGGCTGTATTCGCAGATATGAGCCTAATGGCATTTATTCATTCAGTAAGACTATAGCATATTTATTGAGCCCTTGTCTATGATGCAGGTTTCTAGAGGCTGGGGTTACAGCGGCGAACACGGCGGAAAAAACGCCACCCCTTTGTGAAGCTAAATTCCAGTGAGGCGGTGACAATAAATGAATAAATGAGCAACATTCAGATATTGATTAGTGCTCAGAAGGAACTAAAGTAGGAGGATGTGATAGTGACTAGGAAGGAGGCACTGTGATGGCAGCCAGTGGGGAAAGAGGCTACCAGGCAAAGGACAGAGCAAGTGCAGAGGTAGGAATGAGCTTGGTAGGTTTGAGGGAGAAATTTCACAAAACATCAGCATCAGACAAGGCCACTCTGTGACTATGATGGATCAAGACAATAAGATCATTCTGTAATCATTTCTGAACATAGACGAAACATGAACATTACCCAAGCCAAAAAGATCAGCAAACATTTCTCTAGCCTGGCAAATATGAGTGACTACACTTCTTACCAATTAGTTTTAGCCTCAGTCCAGTAGATAATACTCAGTCCTTCTAGATAATACTTACTAAAATACCCAATTATAGAATGACTCCTACCTCCCTACAGCTTCCAATCCAGAGCAAAGTCTCTTTTCCTTGAACCCTTCACTAAATCACCTAACACAAGACCAAATTTCTAACACCCTCTTACTGAGATGCCCCATGGTTCTCCATGGTGTGCATTCTCCCTTACTGAAACAAGTAATAAACCCAACTTATACAACTACAGTTGTGTTCCTAGTGGTCTTTGACTGGAGGGCATTGACAATAATCAAGTCCAAGATGCCTATTAGATATCCAGTGGTAATGTCAAGTAAACAGATGAATATATTGGTCTGGAATGGGGTCTAGATGGAGACATGACTTTGGCAGTTATGATTCTATTTTTGCAACTTAAAACCTTGGGACTAGATGAGATTATCTAAGCAAAGATTGTAGATAGAGAACTGGGCTATGAGAACCTCCAACATTTCAAAGTTGGGCAGAGGAGGAAGACGAGCAAGAGACAGAAGGAGCAAGCTGTGAGGTAAGAAGGTCATGTCACGAAAAGAAAGTTTTACAATTGAAGGAGGGTGGTCAACTATAGCAAATGCTGCGTGAAAGTCAGGTGGTGAGGACACAGAATAAAATAGTACCTTCGCTATTTTTCCTTCACAGGATGTTTGTTCTACCTCTAGGTCTGTGTGTGTTTCTTGTTTTTATCTTTCGTTTCTATCTATGCATCCTCCAAGGTCAGTGAAAGTTCCGTTTCTCTGGATATCCAAGCCTAGGATCTGGCCCTTCCCTAATTCATGGTTAACTTCTTATAGACCAACTACAAGTAATTTGGTCACATGCTGTTTTGTTTTCTAATTAACTGTATTGAACAGTTCAGTTCATTATTAAATATACTGTCACATTTTCTGAGCTACACTGCTCTTCTGTGCATTTCATGTTCTAACTAGACTCTAATCTTATGGAGAAGGACCTTGTCTTTTAAGGATTTCTTTATTCTTCATAGCACTTAGTTCAGTGCTAGCCGTAGAGTAGGTGTTTTATTAATGTTTAGCATCTTTTTTTGCACTGGCCAACACATACTGAGTTTTTGATCCTATCTAGTTGAACTCATTTTTTTAGGAAAGGGAGTTAGTTTATCCAGTAGGTTATTTTCTCTTTCCGTTACTTCCAAAGGAGATAGTTAAGGATTACCAAGAAGGGGAAACAGAGTTGAGAACAGAGACTTAAAAGAGACAGAGGCAGAAACCAATTGGTGTAAGAATCTGAAGGTAGTCTTATTTCAAAGGAATGAGAAAGCTCTGCAATGATTTTAGACAATTGATATCAGAACAGGGCTGTATTAGATCCTTCTATGGTTCCAAACTATGTCAGAGAAAAAATAATGAATATGTAAAATAAGAGTTTTGAATTCTTCATCTTCAAAGGTAAGAGATAGGGAATAGAAAGGGGAAAGTAGAAAAGGAGGAGAAAGTGGAAGTAGAAAAGGGAATTAACACGTGAAAATACAGACCGTTGTGCTCACTTTAATCTTATTGTTCTAGATGTTTTGTGGGGAAGGGAAAAAGTTGATGGAGGAAGGGATGGGGTCCTTCAAATGGGAAGAGGACAGAGGTTGGTGGGTCTTGTCTGCTAGAAGGAGAGGTGGAAAACTTGAGTGGAGAAATGGCTAGGCAGTACTTACAGGAAGACTGGCTCCCAGGCCTGGCAAGATGACCATCCCCGTTGGCACAGGACAGGGACCCACTGGGCTGGACAATGGGTATCTCATCACTAATAAGTGGCCTCTTTAGTGCTTTGGTGCTGCATGAGACACTTCCCTGGACCTTTGTATGATCTTGGCAGGGCTTAGAGAGGTAGGGAGTGAATTTTCTACCATCTTATTAGAATGATAGCTTAGAGATAAGTTAAATTGGATTCAGACAAATAAATGAGGCATTGTTTTGAACAGCTGAGTTGGAAGTTGGACTTGCTTACAGGTTCGCACAACAGTAGATGAATCAGGACTTATAATACTACTCCTTATGTCATAAAGCCTGTGCATTTTCCATTGAAGGAGTAAGTGAGTGAGAGGGACAATTAGCCATTCTCTTTCTTTTTTCTTCTCCCCAAAGCCCCTGTGCATGGTTGTCTATCCTAGTTATAAGTCCTCCTAGTTCTTCTACATGAGCTACCACCACAGCATGGCCACTGACAGATGAGTAGTGTGGTTCCATGACTGGAAAACGAACCTGGGCCACAAGATGGAGAGCAGGGAACTTTACCCACTAGATCATCAGCGCTGGTTCAACAATTAGCCATTCTCTGCCTGGGCTGGGGCCTGTGGTACCATATGACCCCAAGTCCTCCTATATTTATCCAATTGTGTTAAAAATCCTTAACTTGTCCTGAAGCAGTTGTCAGCAGAACTCTTCTCATCCTTCTACCCCTTAATCTCTTAGCACTCTCTCAAAACCTTTTACTCCTGATTGCTAAGTAGAGCAGAAATTTTCATTTGCCAAAGAATTACTTAGTGCTGTCTTCCTAGGTGGCTAAGAGTGAATTTTACAGTGTCAGAATCACACGGTCTGGGTAAAGAAATAAACATTGTTAGGATAAGTTATTAACTAAGAGTTAGCAAGAGAAACCACAGACCTGTTGTTGCCAGTGAGATTGTGGATCTGTGCTGCAGCAAAGGTTATCCTGCCCTCCTGTTGTTCTCGTTTCTTATAGGCAACACATGAGAACAATCTTATTAGTGAGGTTCAAACTACTCGGATACCAGGCAGTCTGTGTTTAGATGCCAAGTGGCTATAGAAAACTCGTCTGGGGAAAACCAGGCGCCCAGCAAGTGGAGACCTTGGAGGCTGTGGAAATTTTGGCTTGCATGCAGCCTCTCCCTCTGGGCAAAGTGAGGAGTCCCTGGTCGGTCCCTTGTACAGTCTGTGCAGAATAAGTTCCCAGCACAACTTTCAAATAGTTCTGTTCATCTCTCTTTCCATGAAGGTACCCGTGGAAGAAAGGAAGGAAGGAAGGAAAGAAGGAAGGAAGGAATGCCTAGTGTACAACAAAAAGGAAAAGTTATTGGAAGTCTTATCTCCTCTCTGCTTTTTTTCCTTTACCTCCACTGTTAAGCTGAGGCACTCTGTTAGAAACTCCTCAGTTAGACAGCCTAGGATAAAGATAAAGCAAATACATTGCTTTTGAATATGAAGGGACATGTTCTCTTAGGGCAATTGCTAGAGAGTGAATGTTTATGTTCCCCTGAATTCACATGTTGATGTTGAAATCTAACCCCCAATGCCGCGGTATTAGGAGATGGGGCTTTGGGGAGGTAATTAGGTCATGAGCATGGAGCCTCATGAATGGGATTAGTGCTCTTATGAAAGAGACCTCAGAGAGTCACCTCACCCCTGCTGCCAGGTGAGAACACAGCAGGAAGACTGCTGTCTATGAACTAGGAAGAATGTTCTCACCAGAAACCCAATCTGTCTGGGCCTTAATCTTGGACTTTCCAGCTTCCAGAACTGAGAGAAATAAATATTATTTAAGCCAGCCAGTCAAGGGTATCTTTGTTATAGCGGTCTGAATGGACTAAGACAGAAATAGTTGTGTAAATAAAATAAACCCCATGTTATGAAATAAAATCCTAGAAAGTCATTGTAAAATATACATAGAACAAAACACTTAGGGTTTCGTAGGGGGAAAAGTTTATTTGAAAAATAAAATGATAAGTTATTGAAAAGTCAAAGAGCTATTCCTGAGTCAATTCTGAAACGGCAGTGAAACATCAAGGAATTTTGGAAAACACAAAGGTCCACGACTGAACTGAAGTTTTTTCTCAGTTAGTAATGTAGGAGGGAGAAATAACTGCCTTGCAGGATTGTTATAACCAGGTTGAATAAGAAAATATTTAAAGCGTCTGGTAGAGCTTATAGAAGACACCTAACATTTTAATTTTATTCATTCGATAAATACTTTCTCACACTTGCTTTGCCTAGCAATAGAATAGATCTGTTACATGGAGATGACTAAGAAGAGGACTCCTCCCTCAGGTGGCTTCAAGTCTACCTAGGGGTTGAAGTGGACAGGTTCCATCTTCATCCTTTGCAACCCAG